ACCTGGGCCAGGGATCTGAGATCTACACCTGAGCCAGGAACTGTTGATACACGTGTACTGGGAGTGTCACCGTCCTGCTCTCTCTGTGCCGCAGGTGGGCGTCGGCCTGGAGGCCAGGCTGCAGGAGTGGTTCCATCTGCCCCAGGACATGGCCAGCCCACGGTGAGAGAGAGAGAGGGTCGTTCCTCTTCATGCTTCAGTTCCCCACCTGCCCCCCCTTCTCTTTCACCCTCTCCCTCTCTTGCCCCCCTGTCTCCAGGTATGATCCGGACAGCGGCCACGACAGCGGGGCCGAAGACGCCACGCTGGACTCCCCACCCCCCTTCTGCTTCCTCACCGTGGGCATGGGCAAAGTGCTGCTGCCCCAGGGGGTGAACAACTGCCCCAGCAACGCCACCAGCCCCCGGGACCCTCCCTCGCAGCCCCCCCCGCCGACTCCCCACAGCCCCCCCGCCATCACGGCTCCCCTCCCTCCCCGCCTGGGGGTGTGCCTGGACTTCGAGAAGGGGCGTGTCTCCTTCTACGACGGGGTCTCGCTCCGCCTCCTGTGGGAGGGGCCGGTGGATTGCTCCGCCCCCGTCTGCCCAGCCTTCTGTTTCATCGGGGGAGGGGCTCTGCAGGTGCAGGAGCTGGTGGCCAATCGGAGCGCGGAACAGCCCCCTCCCAGGAGGGTCACCATCCAATCACGAGCAGTGACTAACCTGGGCAATTGACCCCTCCCCCCCCAGCGGACAGAGAGACTGACCGACACAATGGCCTTGGGATTTTTGGACAGTTTGGTAGAAACAAAAAAAAAACGCCTCCAAAACACCTCGTTGGGAGGATTCTGTGCCAAAACTACGGACTGATCCGAAATTCTTTTTCCCACAGGAGCGTGTGAGGAAGGCTGGCAGTGGTTTTGAGCGTGTGTTATCGGGGAGGGGGGCGGTGGATGGGACTGTACTGTTTTTTCTAAGTGCTGCCTTTCTTGTCCGCCGGGCGGTCATCTGGTCAGGGGGTCTGCCGTGACCTCTGTGACAGGACACTCGGACAGCGGACCTGCCCTCCGTGGCCACAGGAAGTGGAACTTCTTTCTTAATTAGCGAATTCTTAAATTAATGAAGGGACCCCA